CGTCCTTAGAAGATCAGAACCTGGGAGTCTGACCTCTGATCTTTGACTGACTGTTGTTCCCTAAGCAGGAAGATTTACCTCATTGTATCAGTCGCTTAATGCTGGGCAATCATAGATGCATGCCTGTTAGATATAAGAACCATGATCTAATACTGCTTCTGTTACTCTTCCAGGTTGGCTTTCGAGAGAGCTCTTAGTTTAGACTCACATTGTACAGGAGCAATGACAGGGCTTGCTATCCTTGAATTGAACTCAAAAAAGGTAGGAGTGGTTCGTTTAGCATTCATTTCCTACCATCTCTTACTGAAATCAGAAAAAAATTATCTTGGGTTCTGTTCTGTCCCAAGTAGAAGGGTCACCCTTCCTTCTGGTTGGTCAAGCCAAAGTGTTTATATGCAGAAAAGTTGTTGCCCACCTGGAATAGCTCTGCTAATTGTTGGGGACATAGTCCTAAATTATTTGCAAATCAAATAAACATTTGTTGTTGTTGTTGCTATAGTAGGGTGACAGGTGATCTGGCTAGGCAAGTTACCCTTCTAGCTAAGCCAACTTTTTGTTTCTCATGTACACTAAATGGTTTGCCATGTTTTGTAAGGAAATGTACATGTATGAAAAGTTGGCTCGCCAAGAGTAGCTCGTGTAGGCGGGTGACCCTTTTATCTCGGGCAACTTTCCTCCATAATTATAATTGGGACCTTAGTTAACTACATGTAGCAGAGATTCCAACCCTCCCAATCTGGCCTGAAACCTCCCATTTTTGGCAAATATTTCTGGCCTCCTGTTTTCGCTGAATATTCTCCCAGTTTCTGAAACTTTTCCTAGCTAAAGAAATATGTTTTCTTTTTTTAACCAGTCTTTTTAGAATGAATCTTTGCCATTTTTCTGTGGTTGCTAAGCCATTTTTTATACCTTTTGGCATCCAAGCATGAGACTGCGATAATTTTGGGTGTGGTTGCGCATTGACTTTGAACTCAAAATGCAGGAAATGGCATCTTAGAGGCACATATCATAAAATGGAGAGGCTCAAGGGAGCAGATATGCTGCTCCTAAAACCTCCCTTTCTTTAGTTGACAGGGTTGGAAACTCTGATGTAGGTATATTGTGTCTAGCTTATTACAGTATTATGACTGCATGTTTAAATCTTTGTTTTATCATAGGTGGACTCTATTAAAAATGGGGTTCAACTGTTGTCAAGAGCATATACACTGGACAGCTCTAATCCTATGGTTCTCAATCATCTGGCAAACCATTTCTTTTTTAAGAAGGTACATGTAAACAGTATGGTGCATACTCTTACAACGAATCAGTCGCTTTGTAGTTTGAAGAAAAGGATGTTCGATATTTACACTCACAATACACTCTATCTTATGTCCTCCCAGCCAGTTGGNCCACCTGGAATAGCTCTGCTAATTGTTGGGGACATAGTCCTAAATTATTTGCAAATCAAATAAACATTTGTTGTTGTTGTTGCTATAGTAGGGTGACAGGTGATCTGGCTAGGCAAGTTACCCTTCTAGCTAAGCCAACTTTTTGTTTCTCATGTACACTAAATGGTTTGCCATGTTTTGTAAGGAAATGTACATGTATGAAAAGTTGGCTCGCCAAGAGTAGCTCGTGTAGGCGGGTGACCCTTTTATCTCGGGCAACTTTCCTGCATAATTATAAACGGGACCTTAGTTAACTACATGTAGCAGAGATTCCAACCCTCCCAGTCTGGCCTGAAACCTCCCATTTTTGGCAAATATTTCTGGCCTCCTGTTTTCGCTGAATATTCTCCCAGTTTCTGAAACTTTTCCTAGGTAAAGAAATATAATGTTTTCTTTGTTTAACCAGTCTTTTAGAATGAATCTTTGCCATTTTTCTGTGGTTGCTAAGCCATTTTTTATACCTTTTGGCATCCAAGGATGAGCCTGCGATAATTTTCGGTGTGGTTGCGCATTGACTTTGAACTCAAAATGCAGGAAATGGCATCTTAGAGGCAAATATCATAAAATGGAGAGGCTCAAGGAATAAAACCTCCCTTTCTTTAGTTGACAGGGTTGGAAACTCTGATGTAGGTATATTGTGTCTAGCTTATTACAGTATTATTAATGCATGTTTAAATCTTTGTTTTATCATAGGTAGACTCTATTAAAAATGGGGTTCAACTGTTGTCAAGAGCATATACACTGGACAGCTCTAATCCTATGGTTCTCAATCATCTGGCAAACCATTTCTTCTTTAAGAAGGTACATGTAAACAGTATGGTGCATACTCTTACAACGAATCAGTCGCTTTGTAGTTTGAAGAAAAGGATGTTCGATATTTACACTCACAATACACTCTATCTTATGTCCTCCCAGCCAGTTGGGTATAGGGTGATACTTATGTGTATCATATGTGTAGGGGAGCGGGGAAAAGGGTGGTTAAGGTTGGGGGGAAAGGGGTGTCTACTATTTTATTGTATTCTGTTTGGTTCTTGGGACAGGATATCAACAGGGACATTGTCCTGTCGCTTGCTCCAGTTGCATTATTTATTTATTAATTTATTTTTATTTTACTTTTTTTCTTTATCTAATGTATTTTATATTTTTATGTACCTATTAACTGATAACATGCAACGAATTCAATAAAGGAAAGTAATGTACTTGCTCAGTAAGAAAATCTACTTGTCCCAGACTACCGCAGGGGATTCTCAGTGAGCCCTGCTCTTACCTCCATGAATGATCATCTTAGAGAACTTAGTTAACTGTTCAACAATTATGCTTGAACTTTCTCTGACAGGAATATAACAAAGTCCAGCACTTGGCTCTTCATGCATTTCATGGTACTGAAGTAGAGGCCATGCAGGCAGAGAGTTGTTATCAAATAGCTAGAGCCTTTCATGTCCAAGTAAGTTGCTCCAACTTCCTATGCCCACTTTCCAGTTCCCATTGACAGCATTGACATTAGTAGACAGCACTAGATATATCCATGAGCTTCTGTCAAACATAATAATTTTCAATTGCTGTGGTGAATTCCAGTCACAAGCTATCAAAGCTGATCAAGTCGGGATTTTCCCTAGCTTTCTCAAAAAAATCCAGATTATATGGCTGCTTGTTGTGCTAAGCCCTGTGGCAAAAAAAATCAAAACAAAATAAAACAAAAAACATCAAGACAAGTTACTTCTTATGTTAGTGATATGGTCCCTTGAGGGAGTGTAGTCTGCAGTAAGGTTTTGTTTATGCCCAGTTTGAGTAAGCTCATTATCTTGCAAGTGAAATAAAATTATACTTTAAAATAATTATTGAAAACCTATTTGATTATTTTGGTCTGTTTATTCATGGTTGTGCTGTTCAATTTAAGGGTGATTATGACCAGGCATTTCAGTACTACTATCAAGCCACACAGTTTGCATCACCTAACTTCATTCTTCCTCATTTTGGTCTTGGACAAATGTACATTGCAAGAGGTGACACAAACAATGTGAGTATAACCTGAAATAGATTTACAGGCAGAGTGGAACCCCGTTAATCCTGGTTGTGATAACAAGGTGGTCCCATTAACAGGGTCTTCAAAATAATAAATGACTTGGTGATCTTTACATCAGGGTTGAACAGGGTTCTCCCCAAATTTTAGCTCAGCAGGTAAGGGACCATTCATGGACGGTAAGGCCAAAAGATACACACTTTTCTCGGGGCGGGGGGGGTGTGGGTGAGTGGAAGGAGGGACATGGACCCCGCCCTCCTTGGGAAATTTTTTTATTCCCATATTTTAAGACCTATTTTACGCAAATCTGCTGTCGTGTTATCTTTAGACAACAAATTAAAACGTTCGATTCCAATAATTTTACTATGTCTTTAATGTCCTCTTTCCAAAATGCATGTCCTTAAAAAGGAAAGCTGTATATACAGTACAGTCCAAAAGTAATGCACGTGCTAAAAGTGGCATAAGAAGTTGCTGCGCCGCAAGAACATGCAAGCCACCGCAAGAAGCGAAAGTGCCGTATTTTTGCGGACCCTTTGTGTTTTACCCGCAAGAACTTTGAAACGAAAGAAGTCAAAAATCTTCACCGCAAGAAGCTAGAAAACTACCGCAAGCCTCAAGAAGGCGCATGAAATTCTTTACAAGTGTTAACCTGAAAGAAGTTTGTGGTATTTGTCAACTTTTTGTTGCAACATCATTTTGTAGCTTTGATACTAATTCACTCTGTGGCAGCAAAAGGTAATCATGAAAGGACACACGTAAAAAGTTCCCTGAGAAAGCGAACAGCTTTCTCTGCTTTTTCTGCAAAGTGAACACTTCAATCGTTCAGCTTTTCCAAAGTTAGATAAAGCGTGTGAGGCGATTGTTTAACAAAACGATCTGTAGTTTCGAACATTTCGATCATTTGGATCATTTCATAGTACAATACCATACTCTCGGCAAAACAAACCAAAGGCGTTGAATTTCTGCCACAATGGATATCACGATTCCAAAGAAAACATGACGATTATTTATCACTTTATTGCAGTAATTTGAAAGAGCCTTTCGTGAAACATTCCTTACTTTACTTTAGTATGTTTTTTTTTTCGAGGAGCGCTTTAATTTGACACAGTTGTGGTCTTAAATTACACGGCTCTTTTGCGAAACACACTATGATCGTTATTTTTTTGAAGTGCTGCTTTTTTATCGAAATTGTGCACATTTCCTCGCTTAAAAGGTTACCTTTGCACAAGATAATTTTATATATACTGTTTCAAAATTCATCGATCCTTATTTTGCAAAACGAGCTGCAGTGTGCATTTTAAAAAAACATGAACGTATTTTTAGTTTATCTTTTTTGTTTACACGTGTTATCTATACATCCCTGTCATTGTAAACCAGCAAGAACGAAACAGTTTTAGGGTTTTGAATGTTTAAAACTATGTGCCTAAAGTATAGATTAGTGATCCGCTGACAAACATGGAAAGTGGCACAGCTATTTTATTGTCAGAATAAATTTTCACGTGTTTGCGGCGATCTCGCAAAATGACCCGATGATCGTTTGTGAAACTCCTTCAAACAGCTACTGAAAGAAGCGAAACAAACGAACTGTCAGAAACGACAGAAATCACCAGAAAAGGATAGAAACGATCCAAACGAAAAAATCGCCAAACGATAATGTAAACGATTCAAACGCTTAGCGTAACGCCTCGCTTGACCTTGATCTGACCTGTTGAATAATTTTGTCTGCAAAATTTTCAGTGAAATATATCTATGAAAGTAAAAACAACTGAAGAAGTTCTTGCGTCTTGCTGGATTCAAGGCAAGCACCCTACAAAAAGCCGCACGAAGCTGTCAGCTTGCGGACGCAAAAAGAAGTTCTTGCATATGCATTATTTTTGGGCTATACGTTTTGTACTTAGGTAGCTATACTTTTCCATATATTCATTCTTTTTCTTGTGAGGATCGGATCGGATCACAACTTGCATATTTTTTTTTAAAAAAATATTTAATTTTTAAAAAAACCTTTAAGCGGTTGCAGGCGGTAAGAAGTGTTGCTTCAGGCGGTAAATTTTACCGGTTACCGCCTGATAAGGAGAACACTGACTTGAAAGAATATGGTCCTAAAAATGAGGTGGTGTTATAAGTGGGGTGGTCGTAAGGTGCATTTCCATTATATTACATATCATCAAGTTAAACCTTTATTAATAAGAGAACACCCTCTATTTAGCCAGCCATTGATAAGGTGCCTAAAAGTTAGATTAGGGCAAGCTGTAGCTAGCATGTATTAGCTCAAGAGTTATTTTGTATGAGCTTGATTGATTACAGTTCTTCTGTGAATTATTTGAATTCCCCAAAAAACTTTACTTGCCTATTGGGCAACTTAATAATAGAATTCACTATCCTAATGCATGTAGCAAAATCCACTTGCCCAGGGCTACCAGACATGCCTTTCTTTGCACGCTGAGTTACCTGAATCTTGGTGAACAAGATTGTCAGTAAATTACACATAACTGTAAACAATGGCTCTAGGTGGCCAACCTTTTATAAGCGGCATCCTCTTGCCCCTTTACCCAAGGGGGTCTAATTCAACTCTATGTATGATAGTGTTCTACATCTTGCCTCTTCCTGCATTTTTTTTTAATATTTTGTTTGTCCTGTTATATTTTTGCACAGGCTGCCCAGTGTTTTGAGAAGGTCCTGAAAGCAACACCTGGTAACTACGAGACACTTAAAATCTTAGGATCCCTGTACAGTACATCAACAGACCTGGACAAAAGAGAAACTGCCAAGGTGAGAACTTATCTAAATGGGTACGTAATATAAAGAGCATTGTACTGCTAAATCTTTTATAACTTACATGTTCACTCTATCATAGTGATTTTCAGTCAAGAGTATTAGATTTTGTTGTGGCTTGGACACTTGTTACAACATTGTGCTAAACAATACAAGTCATGTCATAATCTGGAACCTGTCCAGCCCTGAACAAACTAATTCAGAATTATTGCAGATGTTACATCTCTACGGTATTGAAGTTGTGACTGACGATCTCAAGTTGAATTCTCCTTGTTTCGCAAATGAACATAATGCAGTATGAAAAGAGAATCTAGTGTTATCATCATCATCATTAGCTTCTTTTCCCCAGTGTGGAACAGGATCCTGGTTTTTTTTTTTTTCCATTGAGGGGTGTTTTGCCCCTGACCAAACCTTTAAACTGGGTTGTCCTTAGTCATTGTTAACCAGTCTCGCATGGTAGGACCTATCAGGGATAAAATCCTGCCAGCATAGCTCATGGAATCATTTAACTTGCAAGATTCACCATCACAAGAAGGTGACAAGCCCAAGAGGAGAGGACAAGCTAGCACTTAACCAGAGTTCATGAAGGGCTTTATGAATTGATTATTCCAGTCCTTACCATGCAAAATGGTATCAGGGTGGCTGGCTACTGCATGGAATATCACATACACAGTATTTCAAGTAATGTACATGCACATTGTACCTTACATCTGAGCCAATATAACATTTTTTGCAACCGCCTTGAAAATGTAACTTTTTGTTTTGGAAGAGATTGATGGCTTGTTAGACAAATGAAATCGAAGCAATGCCTCAGTCCGCACAATTTGGGATTCTGCAATTTGTGAAGGGTATTAAAGGGCACTTAGCATTTCAAAATAACTCTGGTTTACCTTTTTATGCCTGTGGATTTAATGTCCTTCCCCAATTAATGAATCCTTACTTGTTTAAAATTTTGGAAAGTGATTCTGCCTCATTTTATTCAGAAGAAAAACAGTGTTGTTCGAAGGCCAATTAGAGCTAACCCCGGGTTATACTTAAATGCAGGTCTCTTTTTCTTTTGTTCAAAAGCATTTTCTCAGAAAATTTTCCCTATTCTTTTTAGAGCATCTAGTCATCAAAGTGTAGACAAAAGGAACTAAACCGAATTTTTCTTTAAAACTTTCAAATAATATGAATTTACATTTCTACATTAACCCAGGGTTATCTGAACCCAGCTTTGAACAACCCAGCCTGGTTGATCCGAAAGTAAACTTTTTGATACTTTGTTCTCTTTTGAAAAGAACCATCTCAAGAAAGTGACAGAAGAGTACCCAGATGATGTTGAAGCCTGGATTGAGTTGGCTGGAATATTGGAACAGTCAGATGTACAGGTACATCAGCCATACTTGCATGTTATAGACCTGATGGGCGTGGCGGTACTCAGCAAAGTTTTATACAGGGAGACCCCACCCTGAGGCCCAACCCCTCACCCATTTTGATACCATTTTTTGACAGAAAAGGTACCCCTTTCATATGCATTTACTGACTAATGATACCCCTTTCACAAACCTAGTTAAGAATGCTGCATCCCTTTTAACTGCCGTAAATGCATCGTCTTTTTAACATGAATAATTCACCAAAACAGGAAGTTTTCTTGTCTCTTTCACATCGGTAAAAGGCGTCTGTTAGCTCTTTTCGATCCCTTTACAAACCAAAATGACAGATTTCCTCACCCTTTCATATACTTCAGCTGATGAAATCCAAACCCTTTTATGCCCTATCCTTTCATATACCTAAATAATAATAATAATAATAATAATAATAATAATATTAATAATAATTATTATTATTATTTTATTGTGTGTGGTGTGTGGTACCTGACCCTTAATATAAATATTTACTAATAACCTAAGTAAGGCTGTCCTGTTTTTTAGCCCTCAATGGTTATTATTGGCAGCCTGTACTCTCTCCATATTTTATAGTATTTTTTTTTGTATCATGTAAATTAATGTAGGATACAAATAAAGTTGTTGTGGTTTGTTATTATTACCGGAAGCCTGAAAAAGGTCCCCATTTTGGGTGGAGCCTTCCCATATAGGCCATTTTATATTCCTTGACTTAAATCCTTTTTTTGCTGAACTTGTGGTTAGTGAGATAAACTGTAATTATTATTGGATTGTTTTTGCAGTCTGCCTTGCAAGCCTATGGAACAGCTTCCCGTCTTCTGAAGGAGAAGGTCAAGGCTGATGTACCCCCAGAGATTCTCAACAATGTGGGCGCACTTCACTTTAGACTTGGAAATCTAAATGAAGCCAAGGTAAAAGACCGGTATACTAAAAATGCTGGAATGATAATTTAAAGAGAATTAAAATATTTTGTTGATCCTTTTCTGCCAGTGGTATAGGGTTGTAGAAGGAGCAATCCTGATGACTTTGCAAGCAGTATGTTTCTTCTATGGATTAGCCGTTTCTACTTTCATTAATAGAGTTTTATTTACAAGTAGATCCTTTGCTTTTACCAGTATTGGTATACTATTACCCTAAAGCAATACAGCATGTAAATGTTCTTATTTGCAGAGGTTCTACGAGTCATCTCTCGAGAGATGCAAGCAGGAGAGCCAAGCTGATGAGAGTTATTACAATGCCATATCTGTCACCACAACTTACAACTTATCTCGCCTGCACGAAGCCATGTGTGAGTTTGACAAAGCAGAAGCGCTGTACAAGAACATCCTCAGGGAACATCCTAACTATGTGGACTGTAAGTACCTTGACCAGCACAGCTTAGAACGAGAGTAAAGCCCCGTGCAAACGGATGCAACATTAGGGACCTTACGAAGCTACGACGGCGACGGCAACGGTAGCGTCAACAAGCAATAGGTTTAGTTGGCAAAACAACAACTCTGCACGTGCATCACACTTTTTTATCCATTTCTTTACCGTCCCTACACAACTACGACGTGAAATGATCAAATTTTAATTTTTTTTTGAGGACGGGAACGGCAAGGCGATAAATTCTACCATCTCTGTCTCAACTGGGGCGCGGCCTCCTTTATTCAGTTCCAACATAAATTTCGTTCTTTTAAGTAACAGGGCGACTTGAGAAAATCGCGAAGTGGAAGGATGCGGAGTCTATTTTTTCATTGACGTTTTCATGGACGTTTTAGATGTTCCCGTTGCTGTCGTCGTCGTAGTTTCGTAAGACCCCTAGTAATTTTTGACAGCATAAGTTCCTGTTCAAAAATTTTGAGATCAGAAGACTTGATGGGAATGTTTGGTATTTGCTGTGGTTGAGTAATAATTTTATGTTCTTAACACTTTACATTTGCAAAGAAAATATAGTGGGATTTCTTTTGTAAACCAAGTTTTAAAACTGACTTCTGTTACTTTAAGGAGTAGCTTAGACTTAGCGATACTCGTGGCGTTTGAGATTTTGATGTGGTTTAAATCATTCTCTGATTTTTAATTGTATGAATGTTCCTCATTTTAATGTTTTTTTTCTTTTTTTTCCGTTTAGGTTATCTTCGACTTGGTTGCATGGCACGTGACAGAGGGCAAATTTACGAAGCATCTGATTGGTTCAAGGAAGCCCTTCAAATTAATCAGGTACTCTGTGATTCAATGCAGTTAACAACAAGTAGCGCCATCTCTTGTTGTTGCTCAGCGGTCAGTTTGGTGGCTTGAGAGCGGTCAGCCTTGATTGCATCAGCCCCATGTGCTTAATACAGCGTTTCCCGGCGGCCACTCGCTTCGTTTAGCCTTTAGATTGTGCATTTATCTCCACCCCTCCCTCCCTCCCTTTTATTTTTCCACTGATACATTAGTGTGGCAGGTGCCTGCTCCCAATGACGTAGGGGCTTATGGCTGGAGGGCGCGGGTTTACTAGCCATCGGGGTGTAACACTATCTAGGGGCTGGGTTTGCCAAAAGTGGAAGCCCCTGAACGTCCCAGGAACTCACCTCCACTTGGCAACACAGTTGACTTGTTAACCAAGATACAGTTTCTTATACCAATCTTGTTTCCAGACTCCCTTTTTTTTGTCAGTTGTCGGAAGAAAAAAGACTTAGCAACGAACAATGTTGTGGTGCATCATCCAAAAGTTTTCTGACATCATGATCGTTTTACGGTAGTGGTGTGGGCAAATTTCAGTCATTGTGGTTAACTGGTGTACTAATGATTAGAGAAATGAGACAAATATCTTTATTCTCTGAGCTTTCAGGGATTAAAAAGTTTCGTTGATAAACACTACGTCATGTTAACTCTGCTTGTTGGGTATTTTGTCCATCTTGTCTGTCTCGTGTTCTGTAACTTTCCTTCCTCTGAAATACCCTCAAAAAATGAAAGTTGTGAATTGTAGTATCATAGGAGACGAATTTCTCCTTGATTATGGCGCGAAATTTCGACGTTAATTTGTAATTTCACATGTGAAATTATAAAATTGCCATGGCCACCTTCTGTACGTCTCAGTGCCAAGATAGAGACGAAGTTTTAAAACTATGAATGAAGATGTCAAGGCATTAAAAGACGCTCTAGAAAACCTAAACACACAAAAGGGCACATCAAGAAGGATTCTGTCGAAAAATTCTGAAAAATCTGAACGTAAGCCAAATTTAAGCTCTAACCTTTTGAGAAAGTGGAGTTCTCGATCGATACGATCCAGGATAAACATGTCAAAAATCCACGATTGTGAACGTAATTCGTCACCCATGATATTTTAAAATAGGTAATCAAATGGTGTACTCGTGAAATAGGACAAATCCTGCTGCTCCCCTCCCCCAGAGAATTCCCCACTCCAGAAACGATAAGGGGAATGGATACAAGCTTTCGGCGCAACTGATTCCGGGATCGTTTGGGTTGACAAGCGTTAGTTATTTAACAATTAATGAATGAGGCTGAGTATCTTATGAAGAATTATGGAGCTCGAGGAGGGTGCTATCGCCGAGGCGGATAACACCCCCCGAGATCTCCATAATTCTTCTTATTATATGGAGGAGAGTGTTTTAGTGGGAACTAAACCACTCGTAGATTCCGTACGCCACTTCATCCGGGACCCGAGTGGCGTATTTTCCGTATGTCACCTTTGTGAGTGTCGTATCGTTCAATGACGTCACGATTCCCGCCTTTTGCTTTTGTTGAATTGGTTTCTCCATATAATAAAAAGAACATTACACGTTGGCTCGAAGATATGAATTTTATGTTCTCGTGGCATTCGCTCACTCGTGAGATATTGTTCTTGCCACTCGAACATAAAATTCATATCTTCTCTCCACCGTGTAATATCCTCTATATATGATACAAAAGCCTCATATGATACAAAAGAATCGGGGAAATGTTTTGAATGAATAATATGACTGGTTAATGGTGGCCTTAAATACCATCGACCAATCATAACTGATGCTTGTCCACCCAAACAATCCCAGAAATCACTGCACCCAAAGCTTGTACCCATTCTCCTTAGAGTTTCTGCTGGAGCAGGGAATTGTAAGGGCTAAAAATGTTATTATTTCCTATAAGTAACAACCCTTTTCAACAAGGAAGGTTTTCGATCAAAACATAATGTTTGAATGACTGCTAGCCAGCATTATCAAGTATGAATTTAAAAGGTGAGCGAGTTTCCAGTTGTGGTCCCTTATTCCTTATGGAAAACATTTCTGAGTTTTCAAGTGCGCGCCATTCGTGCTAACTACTACAACTGTAATTGTTTAATCGCGGTGATCATTACTTAGTGCTAATAGTTTTGCTTGCTCTTTTTCAAATTATTATCGATATTTTCCCACAGTTTTGGACATTCTCCAATTTCGAGCTATTCCAACACAGTCGTGATTTTGACTTGACAATGATGGCAAGCAGTTATTGCGGGCGACAAGGGGAGCCTGCAATCCTAATCTCCAGGTTGTTATTACGCATGCGTCGCATGTATGTAGCCGGCTTTCGTTTGGACTTCTACTAAGAATGGAATGCGCAGAACACAATCTGATCACGCGTTTTTTAACTAACTGTCACGTGAAACTTACACAAAGCACAGCGAAAGAGCAAAAGCGTTTTGACCTTCGATCGCTGTCGCCCGTACTCCGTAACCTTTGATTATTACCAGTAATACTCTGTTTTTCACTTCCAACTTGTCATAAAAAAGAAGTTGAGGCCTCGTGGTCAGCCACTTTACACCTTGCCTGTTTTCCGTTCAACAGGATCATCCAGACGCGTGGTCGCTGATTGGAAATCTTCATTTGGCCAAGCAGGAGTGGGGGCCTGGGCAGAAGAAATTTGAGCGAATCTTGAAGCAACCTTCAACAGCCAACGATGCGTATTCGCTATTGGCGCTTGGGAATGTGTGGCTACAAACACTGCACACCCCTACACGAGACAGATCCAAAGAGAAAAGACATCAGGACAGAGCACTGGCTTTGTATAAACAAGTGCTGAGAAATGATTCCAGAAATTTGTATGCAGCCAATGGAATTGGTTAGTGGTGCACGAAGTTGCAAACTACCCACTTAACTAGTAATACGTATATCGCAAAATGTAATGCAATGTTTAGTTAGGGCTCAGGATGAAAATCAAAATATTTGTTCGAATCCTCGGCGAAGTGGTTGCCTCCCGCTAGTTGAGGTTTTTAATCTTGGTATGTTCTTTTTATTATTATTCCTTTCAAATTTTTTTAGCGGAGTGCCTGTAAAATAGCTTGAACACTATATTACAGCAACTTTCTTTTTTTAGTCCAACGTCATATGGAGCCAAAAAAAAACCTGGTTTAAAAGGTAAACTGCATTCGCTGCTTTCTGGATTGAAAAAATAAGTAGCCAACTTAATTTTAAACTCTTAATACTTTTACGAGGTCGCGTCTTACTCCTACCCTGCTAACGTTTGATGTATTTTGATAAATGAGCATTTCCTCAACTTCAACATATATGAGCGTTCTGCCAGGACCAAAATACATGTACTATGTAATAATTTATTACAGGCAACAAAACTCTTAGGAAGTCAGAAATTGTGGTTGATTGTACTTAACTGTTTCTGTTTTTTCCTTCAGGCTGTATTCTTGCTCATAAGAACTTTTTACGAGAAGCTCGAGATGTTTTTTCTCAGGTAATTAATAATGGTAACTGACAGGACTGAGTCAGTGGAGTCCAATTCGGTCTGTAATCATATTAGTGATTAACCACGGTCGTCCGATTGCGATTACAGAGCAAAGTGGACGACACAAAGTTCTGTTACTAATTAATCATAACCATTACAAAATTTGTGATATTCTAAGCTTTTATAAAATTAAAACAAAGGCTATTCCGAGAGTTTTTTTGCTAGAAGTGGAAATAAAACCCCATTCAGTTGCGCGCGTTTGATGGCGCGTACTGTCCAATTACTTAGGAATGATGTGTACTGTCCTATTGCTCTGTCCTCTTAGTGCCGAAATCAGGACAGTTGATAGCCAATCAGAATTGAGTATTTTATTATAGTAGTGATTTTTACAATAATATGAATCACGAGTGGTAACAACAGCATATTGGCATCAGGACATTCTCTCGAGTTTCTGATATAACAGCTTCTCGAATGATCAGAAGTTCTTAAGAAAATTTCGAAGCTTAACTTTATGGTTAAATTTTAAAATTTTATGGTTATTAAGATCCTATTTTCAACTTCAGGAGAGCACTTTTCATTACCACCATGACTCTAAATTTTGAGTATTTCAGTTTTTCTCCAGTTTTAGACAGACTTTTCTTTTCTTTTTCTTATTCACACCGTATTGACAGGTCCGTGAAGCAACTGCTGACATCCCTGATGTTTGGCTTAACCTAGCTCATATTTACGTGGAGCAAAAGCAGTATGTGGCGGCTATCCAGATGGTAGGACTCGTCTTCAGATTGCTTTTCAGCTAGTCCAGAATGTAGCATTTAAGTGTGAACAGTATGTGGCGGCTATCCAGGCCCTGGTTGCACAAAGGTTGGATAGTGCCACCCTCGAGATAAATCACTGTCCAGTGTAAAAGTATGAGGAAAAACTAATTGTCTTATCCACTGGATAGTGATTTATCCAGTGTAACCTCTACCCATCTTTTGAACAACTGAGGCTAGATGGACAGACTCTTGTGTACACTACCTCTCAACAAATCCCTTGTCAAACAAAACACATGCACTCATAATATGTCTCAATGTAAACAGTATTTTTTGGCTGTTTAGATTGTAGGATTGCCTGGGTTTAGATGATATATAAGTCACGATTCCCGCCTTTTGCTTTTGTTGAATTGGTTTCTCCATATAATAAAAAGAACATTACACGTTGGCTCGAAGATATGAATTTTATGTTCTCGTGGCATTCGCTCACTCGTGAGATATTGTTCTTGCCACTCGAACATAAAATTCATATCTTCTCTCCACCGTGTAATATCCTCTATATATGATACAAAAGCCTCATATGATACAAAAGAATCGGGGAAATGTTTTGAATGAATAATATGACTGGTTAATGGTGGCCTTAAATACCATCGACCAATCATAACTGATGCTTGTCCACCCAAACAATCCCAGAAATCACTGCACCCAAAGCTTGTACCCATTCTCCTTAGAGTTTCTGCTGGAGCAGGGAATTGTAAGGGCTAAAAATGTTATTATTTCCTATAAGTAACAACCCTTTTCAACAAGGAAGGTTTTCGATCAAAACATAATGTTTGAATGACTGCTAGCCAGCATTATCAAGTATGAATTTAAAAGGTGAGCGAGTTTCCAGTTGTGGTCCCTTATTCCTTATGGAAAACATTTCTGAGTTTTCAAGTGCGCGCCATTCGTGCTAACTACTACAACTGTAATTGTTTAATCGCGGTGATCATTACTTAGTGCTAATAGTTTTGCTTGCTCTTTTTCAAATTATTATCGATATTTTCCCACAGTTTTGGACATTCTCCAATTTCGAGCTATTCCAACACAGTCGTGATTTTGACTTGACAATGATGGCAAGCAGTTATTGCGGGCGACAAGGGGAGCCTGCAATCCTAATCTCCAGGTTGTTATTACGCATGCGTCGCATGTATGTAGCCGGCTTTCGTTTGGACTTCTACTAAGAATGGAATGCGCAGAACACAATCTGATCACGCGTTTTTTAACTAACTGTCACGTGAAACTTACACAAAGCACAGCGAAAGAGCAAAAGCGTTTTGACCTTCGATCGCTGTCGCCCGTACTCCGTAACCTTTGATTATTACCAGTAATACTCTGTTTTTCACTTCCAACTTGTCATAAAAAAGAAGTTGAGGCCTCGTGGTCAGCCACTTTACACCTTGCCTGTTTTCCGTTCAACAGGATCATCCAGACGCGTGGTCGCTGATTGGAAATCTTCATTTGGCCAAGCAGGAGTGGGGGCCTGGGCAGAAGAAATTTGAGCGAATCTTGAAGCAACCTTCAACAGCCAACGATGCGTATTCGCTATTGGCGCT